CTGCTGAAAAATCCAGCTTAAACCAGCCTGGTCAAGTTAGCTGGTTTTAGCTGGTCAATTTCCAGCCTGACCAGCTAAGACCAGGCTGGAAATGGCTGGAAACCAGCCTGGAAGTGGCCAAAACCCCTCCAAAATCAGCCTGGTTGACCAGCTAAAACCAGCCAACCAGCCTAGGCTGGTTTAAGCTGGATTTTTTAGCAGGGTATATACATGTTTTTTATCGTTCTGTCATCCCGAGTGCCTTGTAAGAAGCGAAATTGTACTCGCGAAGATTAATATGGTGTCATTTACTCGTGCTCATCACGACTGCTGTTGATGTCCAAGCCTACACACTGTGTATCTCTCTCTCTCTCTCTCTCTCTCTCTCACGGTGTGAGACATGTAAAGGCACAGTTCACACAAAACTGTCTTCTGTCGAACACGAAGATATTCAGAATATCTCATTTTTCGTTTGACACGGCTTCAGCAAGTTAATAAAGAGGAAATGTTCGAGAAAAAGAACAGCTCTATCTGATTTCGACAGTTCAGAGACGACTACCTCGATCAAGCTCTGAAAACGACAGGAATGTATGATCCTCAGTATCGTCTTTGTTTATTTATAATCGTCCCCTTCTACTTCTAAATCAGCAAGCCACTCAATGAAATGCACCGATTCATCGGGTTTGTTATCAAAGGAACAGCTCTGCAATCAGATACTCGATTGTAATCTTGCTTTATTTTTAGTCTCTTTAAAGCAGGGGTGCTCAACCCTGTTCCTGGAGATCCACCTTACTGCAGATTTCAGTTGCTACCCATATCAAACACACCTGCCGGTATTTATCACCCGGTGTTCAGGTCCTAATTAATTAGTTCAGGTGTGTTTGATATGGGTAGCAACTGAAATCTGCAAGAAGGTGGATCTCCAGGAACAGGACTGAGCACCCCTGCTTTAAAGAGACTAAAAATAAAGCAAGATTACAATCGAGAATCTGATTGCAGAGCTGTTCCTTTGATAGCAAACCCGATGTATCGGTGCGTTTCATCGAGTGGCTTGCTGATTTAGAAGTAGAAGGGGACGATTATAAATAAATTAAGACGATACTGAGGATCATACATTCCTGTCGTTTTCAGAGCTTGATCGAGGTAGTCGTCTCTGAACTGTCGAAATCAGAAAGAGCTGTTCTTTTTCTCGAACATTTCCTCTTTATTAACTCGCTGAAGCCGTGTCAAACGAAAAATGAGATATTCTGAATATCTTCCGTGTTCGACAGAAGACAGTTTTGTGTGAACTGTGCCTTTACATGTCTCACCGTCAGAGAGAGAGATAGAATACACAGTGTGTAGGCTTGGACATCAACAGCAGTCGTGATGAGCACGAGTAAATGACACCATATTAATCTTCGCGAGTACAATTTCGCTTCTTACAAGGCACTCGGGATGACAGAACGATAAAAAACATGTATATACCCTGCTGAAAAATCCAGCTTAAACCAGCCTAGGCTGGTTGGCTGGTTTTAGAGGGGTTTTGGCCACTTCCAGGCTGGTTTCCAGCCATTTTCAGGTCTTAGCTGGTCAGGCTGGAAAATGACCAGCTAAATCCAGCTAAAACCAGCTTGACCAGCCTGGTTTAAGCTGGACATAGCTGGTTTTGGCTGGGCTCCCAGCCTGGCTAGGCTGGTCAAGCTGGTTTTAGCTGGTCAACTCCCAACCTGACCAGCTAAGACCAGGCTAGAAATGGCTGGAAACGGAAATGGCCAAAACCCCTCTAAAACCAGCCTGGTTGACCAGCTAAAACCAGCCAACCAGCCTAGGCTGGTTTAAGCTGGATTTTTCAGCAGGGTAATGATGCTAATGCTAATCAAACGCTGTGGCTCTTCATGTGCCTGTTCAAGTGCGTGCGGCAGGTATACGCCTTGGGGCACATGGGGCAGGGGAACGGCCTCTTCCCGATGTGAGTGTACATGTGCTTGCTCAAGTCGTAGCGGCGGATGAAGCGTTTCCCGCACTGCATGCAGCAATGCGGACGCTCGCCGGTGTGAAAGCACATGTGCGCCGTCAGGTGGCTGGAAACAACGAACTTCTTCCCGCAGATTTTACACTGGTACGGCTTCTCTCCGGTGTGCGAGCGCAGGTGCACCTGCAGACAGCCGGCGGACACGAAACCCTTCCCGCACTGATGGCACACGTACGGCTTCTCGCCGGTGTGGATGCGGATGTGGATCTTCAAGTTCCCTGACAGTGAAAACTGCTTCTCGCAGTAGGGGCAGATGTGCGGACGCTCTCCAGAATGACACCTCATGTGGGACTTGAGCTGGATCTTGCTGTAGAAGCGTTTGCCGCACTGCGAGCAGAGGAGGGGCTTTTCTCCGGTGTGGTTGGAGAGGTGAGCTAGCAGACTGCTGTTCGCAGAGAAGCACTTCCCACACTGGTCGCAGATATACGGTCTGAACTCGGCGTGCGTCTTCAGGTGGCTTCTTAACTCGCTGTCTATGTTGAACGTCAAGTCGCAGAAGCGACACTTTCCTGGCTGTCGATCCGATTTGGACGGACGCGCTGCGTCCGCTTTATGGATCTTCTGGTGGATCAGACTCGCTCTATACGAGCCGAACGTCTCGTTGCATTGTTTGCAGGTGTAGTTCCGTTTGATGGAAGGAGTTCGGTGTCCGCGCCGGTGGCTGACTAACTGGGAGAGGCTTGTGAACGTGCGCCCGCACTCAGGGCATTTGTGTGTGGTCTTCTCTTTGTGCATTCGGTTGTGTTTGTACAGGGTCCTGAGGGATCGGAAGTGAGCTCTGCATTTGACGCACTTGAACACTCTGGTGTTGCAGCTGGAGATCCTGTGCGCCGCCAGCTGAGTCGAATCCTCAAAATCCTGCCCACACTGCAGACACTCGTGCGCCCCTGGCTTGGTGTGCGTCTCCTGGTGCTTCACGAGGTCAGAGCGGTAGATGAAGTATTTAGTGCACTGTTGACAGCGGTGTACGGTCCTGCCGGCGTAGTGGAAGCCTTTGGACGGGGAGTTGGTGAAACTGTCGGGGCGCTGAGGAGGTGCTGCTGCCGAAAAAATGAGATCTCCTACACGTGGGTTGAAACAGAAATAATTAAATCAAGGATTAAAAAGCAAAAAAGGAGGCTGTAATGAGAATTCCGGGCCTCATTCATGAACAAATCTCTTCTTAAACTCTACTTGAGCACTTTTCACGAAGATGAAGAAATGCAAAAATTTGCCTGTCATGCAGATTTTGTTTATTGAATTTAGTATTAGTTAAATGGATAGTTCACCCAAAACCTTGATCCGACGAGAGGCGACGTGGAAAACACCAAATCAACCGGCTGACTAGCCTGATCTCATGAGAAAACGTAAGTATTTTACGTTTTGTCAGTTTTGTGGCCAATTCGTACGAGTTCAGTCTAACAAAATTGTATGATTTTAGAAAGGATGCGTTGCACCCAAGACCACCCCTAACCCCAACCGTCATAGAGTGGAGGAACTATGACGTCAATTTGTATGCAAAAACCCGGAAGCGAGTTAGCATTTTAGCAGTTCCGGTTCCCTCGTCCCAAAGTCAATGGGTTTTTTGTATGGGGTTTCAGTAAAATCGCTTAAATAAGGTCCGTGACTAACACAAATTCAAGATACTTTCACGTTTTGTTCTACGACATAAAACACATTAGTTACAGCACACTCTTGAGTTTTTAATTCGGCCATGCTTCTTTAAAAAGACGGTTGCTATCAAGTTGCTAAATGGGACTACAGGCGGTGTCGGGGACATTATACGTCATCGAGCTGAACTGGTCTGGAGCGCAGCTCGCTTGTGTTGGGCGTTTGGATTTGTCTGTTATTTAGGTATTTTCATGAGTATTTTATAGTTTGTAGTATTTTTCTAATTGGGGATTCAGATTGTGTGTAGATAATGCCTTCACATGTAAAGGCTGTCGAGACAGATTCATTTGTTGATCATTTATTTTAATTAAACTATATTATGAAGATACTGCTCACTAGTGCAGCCTGTCTCTCTCCTGCCCTCAGTAATGCAAACGTGTGAATAAATGTGTAAAAATACAGACATATTAACGTGATCAAGTGATTTTTTGTCTTTTTTTTCTTCATCTGAACACATTTTACTCAGTCATAACTGCAATATTAACACTCCTCCATAAAACGTATAGCAGATTTGACTGTATGAGCTGCTTTTCGCTGTACGTCGTGACATAAAAGGGAATATTGAATGTTGCTCTGTGTCCATGATGATGGAACTTGCAGGCATTTGATAGACTTGTTCCTCCTCACGCCTCATTTCTGTCATCTGTTAAGGTAAGCAGGCTGTGTGCACGAGCGATACACTTATTTAAATATGTCTGATGATAATACTATGTAGGCAGATTTATACACGCAGTTTTAAAACTTTAGAACAACCGCAAAGCAAAACAGATGTATTTCCCACGTAAAAACGATCCAAAAGGCTCATAGGTCTATGTAATTTTGCGTATTTATTTGTTTATAATACATAGCGTGGATTATAATATAATATACAGAGAGATTAACTCTTTGTCATGGACATTATTTCTAAAAAATAAGCTTGAAAAGTCGTCTGTAGCAGGGTGGGGCTGACGTCACAGACGAGCGCCCCGAGGGCACTATAGTCCGTTTATAGCCTAATGTTAGCTTTTTAACTCTTGCGTTTGCATTTAAGATCCAAAAGTGCTCCAAGTTGTATTTTCGTGTGAGGATTATCCTGCTGGACTAAATGTGTAAGTGTAATGAACTGTGTTTGAACACAGAGCTTATTATTTGCAATCTTCGAAAAGCCTATGGGAAAATCCTATAGGATTTTCACGAGGGAACCAGTTTTATGCTAGCAGCCGATTAGCCTACAAAGTGACGTCATAGTTCCTTCACTCTATTGGGTGATGAGTAAATCATACTAAATTGTATGAACTAGATCGTAGGAATTCATTCGAATTAGCCACTAAATCAAAAAGTTACGAATTGCCGTGAGATTGTGTTGCGCTGACTGTCGACTTGGTGTGTACCAGTAACAGGTCATGTTATTTATGGGGAATTGTGGGGTGTTCATATGTTAATTTGGAAAAACTGGCATGCGTTTTCAATAATAATGACATGGGGCTCACCGTTCCACTGTACACTGTTCTCGGGAAGTTTCTTAAAAACAAATTCACGACAATTCAAATGATATTGATGAATGAGGCCTGTTGACTTTCAGAGAGGTTTTACCTGTGTGAGCATCATTGGTGGACGACAGCAGGTCTGGCTCTTTGGAGTCACACCTATAAAAACAATAAAAAGGATCTTTGATTACTACTTTTCTTACACAATGATTACAAAAAAAAGTGCCCTTCTGAATCAAATCAGCAGGATGCCCTTCTGGATCTTTCACTTACTGACTACGACTGACTACGCTTACATGTGTAGTCTAGTTATTTGCATTATTAAGGTGTTGACGTCAAGTGCATTCATTTAAGAGTTTCCTGTAATTTTGGCCGACTTTAACTGCAGTTCGGCAGTTTCACATAAACTCATGAACATTTCATTCATGCCCCCGTGACAAACTGGTGTATTAGACGCAAATAAGGATTAAAGGACTGCTGAGAGTGTTGTGGAATTTAATAACACACGCCGAATGGAAAGAAAAAATACTTCTGGATTTTGCAATGTGTGTGTGTGTGTGTGTGTGTGCGGTCCTTTACTGACAGCAGTGTTTGTGAATCTTAAAAATATGGCGAAAAGTCCTACATGACGCTAATAGTTTGACCGCGGTGTTTACTTCAATAATGCCACTAATATCTGCATACTCCACACGTCTTAACTCCATTTCTGTTTAGTTCAGTGATGACTTTAGTCGGATTAAAGTGATCAAAAAATGTTTGGAGCTTTTGTAGAATGAACAGTGAGTAAACACAAGCACATCTCATTGAACAATTTATTTTCATCACTAATCATCAGAGTAGAACAGTTTCTCAAGCAGTTTGTGATGCATTTTGGAAAACAGGAGATAAGCCCCTGATCTAATGCGCCACCTGGCTTGAGAATGCCGTTCTCAAAGACTTACTTTTAGTCATTATTTGGGTAGCACACATATTCTGAATGCCTTCAGCAGAATTTAAATGAGCCAAGATTACAGTGAGATTAATCTAGATTTAAAAAATGAATTATGCCCACCTATAATATCAATATCGTATGCGTGAAATAAAGTCGATCATTTCATATAATTTCATATTATCCATTTTTTGTTTCGATCCATCATTTTGTATAATATTTGTTATTTAGTGTAACACTTTTTCGCCATCTTAGGACGCACTCGCACTAGGCTATTCGAACTATGCCCGGGTGCATTTCCTGGTTTGTTTGACAAGTGTGAGGGCTCTGAATTTGGCCCAGGCTTGGTTTAGTGTGCCGGCCCTAGTCTTGTTGGAGGAGGGCAGTTCCAGAACACGGTTCGGTTGGGCTTTGCTGCAGTATGCTTGTAGTGTGAGTGCGAAACTGAGACACGGGTTGCGTCCGAAACCGCATACTTCCATACTATATAGTACGCTAAAATCAGTATGCGAGCTGAGTAGTATGTCCGAATTCATAGAATTGGAAAATCAGTATGCGAGAAGTACCCGGATGACTTACTACTTCCGGCGAGATTCTAAAGTGCGCATCCCATGCACGCTGCACTATCCCATAATGTCCCGTGAGAGAATTCATGAATGGAAGTGAGGCGACGCAACTGACGCAGGTAGGTCACGTGACCATGACAAAATGGCGGATGTAGTACGTCCGAATTCCATTCATACTTTTCACATTCATACTGTATAGAATGTACTTTTTTAACGGCCGAGTAGTACGTTTAAATTCAAATGCAGTACCTACTGAGTAGTAGGCGCTTTCGGACGCAGCACTGATGTCACTTTTGAGGGACAGTTTCATATGGAGTGATTAATCATTCTTACTGTTCAATGAACGAGAACTGTCATGGATTATTTAAGACATAATCCCCTCGCTGCACCTTCAGCAAACCTCCTAATACTGTACCTGCAGCACGAGGAATTTATGATCATCTGTGAGTGTAAAAATCTGTTCAGCAAAACATTCGACTGTGTCATCGCTTGCCAAACGACTTAAAAATAACTTTTAAATTCTGTTAAACTGAACAGTCGCATCATCAATGACAGAAGGTGCTCAGACTCTGAAGGTAAAATTCAGTATGAGTGCAGGCCGAGGAAGAGAGGGGAGGAGGAACAGTCGTGCCTGAGCACGGTTCAAGACAACCATGCCTGGTGTGAGTACACCCATAGACTTCACCACGAGGATGCAGGCAGCAATGTGAATAACAGCATGGGGAGAAACTTGCAGGCTTAAAATGTACAATGTTTACATTTTACTTTATGCTAGGTCTGTAATCGTTAGTTTTTAAAAGCGTGTTTTATATTTTAATATAAAATTTTATATTTCTACATTCTCAATCAAACATTTGCCCAGAACTGATATAAATAAAAAAAATAAATCAATCAATAACACTTTGCATGTTCTTCCTGCGTTTGCGTGGGTTTCCTCCGGGTGCTCCGGTTTCCCCCACAGTCCACAGACATGCGGTACAGGTGAATTGGGTGGACTAAATTGTCCGTAGTGTATGAGTGTGTGGATGTTTCCCAGAGATGGGTTGCGGCTGGAAGGGCATCCGCTGCGTAAAAACTTGGATAAGTTGGCGGTTCATTCCGCTGTGGCGACCCCGGATTAATAAAGGGACTAAGCCGACAAGAAAATGAATGAATGAAGTTTCCTTGTTATGCTGCGTTTACACCAGACGTGGAACGCGCGTCAAGCGCGAGTGACTTACATGTTGTCAATGCAAACGTGCGAATAGACATCATGTGGTGCGATACGTGCGAATGACGTGAATGGCGCGGTGCGAATGGCACGATACACGCGAATGGCGCGACGCGAATTGAAACTCAAATTCGAAAATCTGAACTTCAGCGGACATTCGCCCCGCGTTAACCAATCAGGAGCTTGCTCTTGTGGGGGCGTGATTGTGACGAATCGCCTGTTGTCGGTGTTCCGGGGGAAAATCCTTCAGCCGACATCAAACTGGATTCGGCTCAGTCAGAAGCACCGCTAAAAGCCTCCGTCATCCAGGTTCAGTTTCTGGAGAAGTTTATGAGCTCACAGAGCTGGAAGAACCTCTGAAAGGATGTAGTGGACTCAGACACGACCCTAAACGTCTCTACGCTGTTTTTCAGTCTTCATAAAGCACATAAACACTGTTATTTTCTTCATAAAATCAATGTTAGCCATATAGCTATGAAGCTAGAGTCACCCGGCAGACAGAAGCCCTGCCCATCACGCGAATCCGCGTCTGTTCCGAAGTGAATTTGACGCGCGAATGAAGCAGGGTTTGACGCGCGAATGAAGCGAGTAAACTCAAATGTTCACGCAGCAATTTACGCGCGAATAGCACGATTTGTCCGCGCGTTCCGTGTACATACTATAGTGTGCACACCAGACGCGTAACGTGCGGATAAATCGTGCTATTCGCGCGTAAATTGCTGCGTGAACATTTGAGTTTAC